CGTGTGCTCTTCAGTTACTATTGTCTTTTAATATCTCCACTAGTATATTCTGTTCAAAAATCGTATTCAATTGAGTATTACATATGCTATTATCTGGAAATACTTACAAGCTTATTATCAATCATATTCAATATTTATCATCATAAGGTAAGCAAATATGTATATTTAAATATTATATATTATCATTACTGTAGCAATTTCGAATGCATTTCTACAGTTACGATATTTATAGTAAAATATATGTAGATGCAGCATGCATTAATAAAATCATTGTTTCAAAAAATTCAGTAAAAAATTTGCAAAATATGCATTAAAAAATTATGTCTTTGATAACTAAAATGCACTTAATATTAGATACATTAACTGTAGATATAATAAAATTTTCATGTAAGTAATTACCTACTTATTACTATGTTTACTTGTCTAATTGCATCTTTATTAGAAATTCCAGAATTGTCTGAAAAAGCTGGATATTATTGACAATACATTATTTGAAATTGGAATGGTGACAGATTATAACAAGTTACATAAAAAAACACTGTGGTTTGTCTTAGGATGGTTCGTAATAGTCATATTGATGAATAGTATAACGGCACTGTCCGTAAATATTGAATATGATTGCAACATTCTGACTGCTATAATTGTCGTCTTCGTACAAAATTATTCTTATCATATTAATGTTATTGGTTATTTGACTACTATAACTATTCTTGGGTTGGTACTACTTTTTAATACATATATGTATAAGTATACAGTTATTTCATAACTTAATCATTTATATAAATTTATTTTATAATTATTAATTTATATAAATATTAAATCACCAGCTATAAAAAGTTATGCAGTATATAAACATTATCAAAACTGATAAATTTATCTTCTGATAACAAAATCATTCATCAATTTTTTTTATATATTTAGATACATAGCATTAAAATTTGATCAAATTAATAAACATCTTCAGAATATGATGACAGATAATGATCATAAAATAAAACAAGTTCGGAAAAATCTCATGATACCTTCGCATCGACGCCAGTTTTCAAAAATTAAACATATGATATGGACATTATGGACCATTAGGTAACAAATTTAATTAAATTTCACTACATAAATATTACTAAATAAAACTTAATATTTATATACATTACATACAGAATAAAATGCAATATTTATACAGACATCTTCACTTGGAGTTACGCAAAATATCATATGAGATAGATTCTACATTCGTAACTGAAATGTCTTTCAAAATGGCATCCTATTTTATTTGGATAATATATCATATTCGCGCAACTTTCTATGCATTTCTCGACAATTTAAGATGTAATAAAATATTGTATGCAGAAATGAATGTAATATGGATTTTTCATAACATTTCTAAATTTCTGCTCATTAATTATGTGTGCGAAACAGTTAGCATCAAGGTATTGATTAAATCTTTAATTTCAAATAACATTTATCTACCTAAATAATAATCATCTACCTAAAATTTGTTTTCAACAATAATTTGTTAAGTAATATATCATTTTAAATTACTGAATTAGAAGCACAATTTCTATTTTATTTTATTCTAATATTTATATTCCAATTTTAGGCAAGTGCAACAGCAAATTTACTAAATAGATTATTGTATTTTACTTATGATGCTGAAGTTCATGAAATCGTAAGTTTCAAAATAAGTTCGTTAGAACATTGTTAAAATAACATTCAATGAAATCCAAATATTCAGTAAGATATATGTATATTAAAAATAATCTAGTGTATTAATACAGATTTCACAATTTTCATTACAAGTGGTATATATGCCACTTAGATTCTATGGAATAGGACTTTTCGAATTTGGTTTCAAATTTCTTCACAGAGTATGTAATACTTATAATATTAATATACGTAACTTTAATTCGTTATTGACTATATTTAAAAGAGAAATTAATATATTATCTTTGTTTTTAGTTCATCATGTCAATTGCGACCGTTTTAGTTATAGTAATACAAGCGCACGAAAATAAGTAAATATAATTATCAAATTATAATAGTCAATTCAATTAATTCATATTCAATTATTTTCAATTCAAATGGTAATGGACACTTTCTAAATTGCATTTTATTTTCCAATTATATTTTCCAAATGGTTTGATATATGTCTACGTTCACATTAATGGTAAAGAAAAGAATTAATGATTAAAAAAGAAATAATAAATTTTTTATGTGTACACGGTAAATGATGATGAATAATATTTATTATAATTTCATACTGATTTTATCTTTCTACAATTCTTTTTATGAAAAAATATATATTCTTTGCATACAGCATTTTATATAATTTTATGTATTAACTTAAGTAATATGCATAATGTCTACCATATAATAAAAAGCAATCCTTTGTAATTATAATACATATATGTATTTATGGTACTTGAATATTATCTATTTAGAGTAATTGTGATTGAAATGTATCTTGTATGGTGTTTAAAAATGTTTAAATATTGTATACTATATGTATATGAACATATTAATAAAAAAAAAAGAGAAAAATACCAACAATTATATTCATATAATATGTCTGCTATGTGCTAGAAAAATTATTTTATCTATCATTTCTTTTTCAATAGATCATATCACATAAATTTCAGCTAGATAGCAAATTGATTACCTAATATTCATAAGTGCCTTAATAGAAATTACAAAGATAACCGTAACTATTCCGTGCAACTTATGCAAATATGAAGTCAGTAAAATAGCGGTTTGAAATAGCAACGGTGCACAATGAACCAAAGTATTCAAACAATTTTAATGCCGCTCCTAACAATTAGTTATATTTTTGGTTTAAATATTACAAATCTATCTATAGGCCACTCAAGATTATGGTTTAATTTCTTGTATATGCTAACAGTTTGGGTAATTTATAATTTTCTTTTAATATCGGTATTAATACCTTTTGCCGAGTATTATATGAGAAGCAAGTATTACATTTGCTATTTTCTGGAATTGTTTATAACCTTATTGTCGATCGTGTTTGGAATATACCATAATGAGGTAAAAAGATATTTACATTCATAGTTATTAACTTAGAACATATACTATTGGAAGGAGAATTGTCTTATATATCGTTCGTGTATCGAGCTGAAGCCAAGATCTGTGTAAGAGAGAAAGATATAGGTTTCCAATTAACTGTAATATGCCATTCAACCTCCACTTAGCTCCGTTTTTCATTTCTTTTGAAAAGATTTTCGAAAAATTAAAAATTGGGTAAAACGGGTTGAGAGTGGGGACTAAATGACACATGCGTATTACAGTCAATTGGG